TTGTAGCCATCGATCAAGCCCTCGTGTGAGAAAGAATGCCTTCCACATACGAGCCCTTTCCCCTATAGCACGTTTAATGGCCGGCTTCCACGATTGCGGTTACTGGAGGGTCTCAACATGAATGGCATGGACGCTGATGCATTAGTCATGTCTAGCTATTCGAATGGAAAGCCGTATGATCGCCCTGGAACAAATGGGTTACACGGCTGATCCTAATTCGTTTAGTACGTTGGAACAAATAGTTAAAGAATTGCCGTATTCTATACAACTTAAGTGGGCGGAGACCGTGGATCGGATTGCTCAAAACGACAGGGAGCCAAGTATCAGAGAACTGACAGAATTCATATATGCAATGGCTAGAGTAGCAAGGAGTCGCTTTGGGCAATTTGCTAACCGAAGCAGAAGAAGTAATAGACCCGTCCAGTCTATACAACCTTTGAGCAGGCGTCAACCTCCATTAAACTATAGTGTAAATTTGGTCACGAATAATAACGATCTACGCACACAACTATGCGTGATTTGTGATGAAAATCATCTGGGTTCATCTTGTTTGAGTTTTTCGGAGTTAAATACCCAGGAAAGATGGGACAAGGCACGAAGATACGGTTTGTGTTTTATATGTTTATTGGGAAGCCGTCGAGCGAATAACCGCAGTAATAAGACCACTTGTGACGTGAGTGGTTGTGGGAGTAGATATCACAGGTTACTTCACATCGTCAAGAGAGTCCTAAGCACACAGCCTGAACCAATCAGTGAGGGTCACTGCTGAGCAACTAGACTTCGGACGAATAATGTGAGCCTGGGATTATTACCGGTCAAAAAAGAGCTAGATTAAAAGAGATTATCGGGTATGCTTTGCTAGATAATGGATCGGATACGATGCTTATTAAGGCAAGTGCACTACTCCATTTGGAACCAAACCAACAAAAATCCATTCAAAAATAACCACAATGAGTGGATTATTCGAGGCAAACTTTGTCAGCAGTGCTTTTCGGGTGCTGCCTCTAAATGAAGCAGAATCAGTATGTGTGGAGCAAGCTGTCTTTATGAAAGAATTACCCATTCAAAGCCCGTTAGAGACATCTCTAACAGAATGAAAAATGGCCCCATTTGGCAGACCTTCCGGTGGAATACTTTAATGGAGAATTTCTGCTATTGATTGAGTGCGATATACCGGAGGCGCATTGGGTACTCGACCAAAGGCTCGGTGGTCGAAAGAATCCTTATGCAGTTCGGACGCTATTAGGTTGGGTGATTTTTGGACCTTCAAGTTTCGCTTCGTATGAAATGAAATCGGTCAAATGCTTGATTGAAGAAGACTCAGATCTTATTGAACTTGCCGCTGTATTTGCGCCATTTAGCTCTATCGTTCTCATAACCCAAGCAATTCGAGCAGATGAAGCACACAGTTTGAAGGGCAACGATCGTTCAACATGTTAATAAACTACGATTGAGCGCAGAATGCACAACCAAACTAGTGCAGATAATGAACTTCCTGATCAGAACGATAACTCTCAAGGATGTAATCATTTGACTCGTCACTCATATCGGAACCCAAACGGCAAACATATCGAGTACTCCCGTAAAATACCAAGCGATCGTAGGATCCATAAACCTTTTTAGAAACCTGAAATCCACCAATGGGCATTTCCTGAATCAGATCGATATAACGCCATGAACGTAGTTTAAAAACAAACGGAGCGAAAATTATTATTTTATATTGGAATGACAGTAAGACTTTCGAACTGCACTCAAACAATTCAAAAGTGAACGTTCAGGTTGTCACGGCAATCCAAACAACGTTCAATACGAATCGCAATGCCTCGATCTCGACTGACCAAATTTCCAGCACGTAGGAAAACAACCGAACGACAGTTGAAATTTCGTTTCTATTATTGGCATACATCAGTACATATTTGTAACTTACGAATCAGTCGTAGGTCCCAGTTACATAACGACTAGCAATTGAGAAAACCACGGAGCGATACCACAAAGATACTGAGCGGGTAATGCGAAGGCCGGTTAAAACAACTGTTAAATGTTGAGGTCATAAAAGATAAAGAAGAGATAAGAAAAGGCGCCTAATGGAATTAGAAAAGTATTGTGTACAAACGTTTTCGAAAACCGTCACACAGGTCACGACTTAAACTAATTGGTTCCGAGTGAGTTACAAAGATTTAAATTCATTTATAAGGATTGATGTCTAAGTATACAAGTGAGATAGAGCGTTGAAGTATGGATATGTGTATTGACGAAATCTGTTGACGAGTGAGACTTTTAATTTGTGAAGTGGTTTCCAGAATGATTTATGTCTCCGTTTCATCCGCAGGATTTTCGCAGATCGAGAAATAAACTGCCCGGCACTGTCTCTCCTCGAGTCACGCGATCAAAGAAAAATTTCATAGAGCACAAATTCTCACCTTAACTACCTTTTTCTTACTAGTATGCCATCCTCGTCTGCCCCTCGTCGTTCTTTGTGAGTCTTCAATAGCTCATGTGGTTAGCCACAAACAGTTTTTCACGACTCATAGGGCTTTCCCGCGTTCTCTCACAGTTATCTCAGGAGGTTAACTACAAGCCGTTCTCCGTACACAGCTCCTCTTTTGCTGAACCCGTTGGATTTCTCAAATGCATGCAATCCCGGTTTTCTCTGTATCATTGCCCCCAAAAGGCAGATTCGCGGGATGCCTTGAAAGAGGTTAATAGCGGCTGTTTTTATCCTCATCGTTGCGTACTAGACCATCATGTTCCTTAAATATTTCAATAGGCCTTTGAATCCTTGACAGATTCTTCTCGGCTACTTAAAAAACGTCACCCGACCGCACAGATTGCTCGAGAGACATCCACCTTTGACGGCATTGCATTGTTGGTACTTGTTCGCGAATCCACCCTCACCACAACACTGCAGAAATATATTGCGCTGGTTCCAACTTTTATCGTAGCATCCCGACAATGTTTTCGGCAATAGAAACAAGTCATTGTACGTGAGGGTTAACTGACCAAATCCTGCCGATCTAAAGCCACGTCCGTTGAGGATTCGTTCTACTTCGACCATTGTTGTGTTGGGTTTCGTCATTCGGGGTTTGTTGACCAAAAAGTGCCAACAGCGTTTCCCGGACCGACCTGATAAGTCTCTCCCAGACCCCACCGCGATGGCTTGGGAATGATGGATTAAGGTTCCAAACAACCCCGTGAACGGATGTCTTGTCCTGCGCAGGCCTCCTATCTACCCGATCTCACCAACGATTTAGCTCGTTACGTCCTCTCACGAATTTGGATCAAGTATACGTGCCCTGGTGTTCCTCGTCTGCCCGCAAAACGTTCAAGCGCCTTTATAAAAGAGTTCGTAATCATTGAGTGTGCCATTTCAATATGTAAGACTCGTGAATGGAGGCAAGCAATCAGACATTCGTATTTTTTCGGCCCTCCAGTTTTGGACGTGAATCGATCTGAAGTAGTTTTATCTGACTTCCGCGAAGGCTCGCAATTCTACCCTAACTTTGATAGCTGGTAGTGGCACCATCATCTGCTTCGCTGTCCTTGCGTTTTGCTGAAGACAAAACAAACACTTGCGGATTAAAACGTTCACTGTCGCCATTCCCATACATTCCAGAATCTTTTTCGTAATGTTCAACAGGTGGTTGCGCCGACATGAGTGTTGTGAGATGATGTTTGTCAGTGAACCCACCCACAGCGGTCACACCAAGAGGCTCAAAATCATCCAACTGGCCGGCAAAGCCCAAGCTTACAAAACCCAAAAGAACACGCCCACTTAACATTGACTCTGGATTGCATCTTGCAGCACGAAAGCCCATTGGGAAAGCTCTCGGTCAAGTCACGGAAGTGGATAACCGAAATAATGATACTTAGGTCTGCTTACAAACACACACAGGGCCAGATAGGGAATATTCTGATTAGAGCCCCAGAGCCCTATTCTTTGTAACCTATACTTGTAAACACCCAAAGGCTTAAAGCGGATAAACATAATTCACAGTGCTTTGTGGAATTAAGTCCGCCACTCTCGCCTACAGTGGAGGCGAGCACATAGGGTGGTTAAATGGCCCTTAGACAACAAATGCACCATAGCGGTGCGTCCCCTGCTCTTGAAATTCCACTTCTCTATAGATTGGGCCCTTGTCCTCTTTAAACCATATCTGACAGCAGCAGCAATGGACAATATATTCATTGGTCTTGACTCCACCTTGTCAAAGACGCCCCACCCCAGAGGTTACTCCAAACCCTCCTCGTCTACTGGTCAAAATCGACCATCTATGTAGAGATAATCTCTCCAGGCCAACCCGAACACCACAGGCGCCAGTACAACGTGCGAACTCATCTAACCCCGTCCAAAAAACGAGGGAAGTCATCTGAGGACCACTCCGAGGAAACCATTGACACGTCCCCGAACAGGCGCCAACAGCCACAGCGAATCAGAGGTGGGCTAATCAACGTCTGCAGACTGCTAAACAAGAAAGAAGAGATCGCCGACCTACTCCGCACCATCGACATGTGTGTCCTCATCGAAACTTGGCATCAGAACTGCACTCCAATCAGAAATTGGAGCAATTGGTTCCAATCGTGCAGAGAAGACAGAAGCGGAGCCCCCGGTGGGGGTGTCTCATGCTCTTCAGGAAAGAGACCCGCTAGTCTCCTACCCAATTAATGGAAAACACCCCGCGTATTCAGACAACAGCATGTATACTCCATCTCAACCCGCCAGTTGTAAAGATAGGGATCTTCCTCATCCCAAGCGCATCCAGCGCAGAAGACTTATAACTTCTCAAAGCGCTATGAAATGCTTCATGAACAGGACACCGAATAATAGTTCTCGGTGACTTTAATGCACCAAATATAAACTGGCTAGACCTCGGAATCTCTTCGGTAAGCAGCGGCTGAATACATCCTGCTCCCTGTCTCTAACTCAACCCGTGATCATACCTACAAGAGTTAGACCGCGACAACAGCCCTCTTCCCTGGATCTAATCTTTTCCAGAAATCCGACACAGGTCATCGAAATGTCCTTGAGAGTATCTCTAGGGAAAAGCCATCATTTAGACAAATGGTATCCCCAAGGCTTAGGCTGAGAACCCGACGTTTTCACTCTCTGAAGGTAGGTGAACTACTTGATAGTGCAAGGGAAATGGAATGGCCCAGTATGGATACCGCAGAGGATCGGTGGGCTCTCTTCCTTAGAATCATAACTCTCCCAACAGAGAAGCATGTTCCACTGGGGGCAGTAAACCCACGGAGCAACAAACAGTGGCGGAAGCCCAGGATCCGCTAAGTCCTGGAAAGAAAATGGTTAGCTTGGAACACAAATTAGCCTTAAGAATTTTGCTTCATATAGACAATACAAGCTCCTAAGAAACCAAGTGATCAAAATTTCCAGATAGACTAGACAGGCGTACGAACTTGGTATCGCAAGAGACACCGAGGTAAATTCCAAGCGTTACTTCGAATGCGTGCAAGCAAAGTCTTCTACTCAAAAAATATACGCAACGTACTACGAGCATAGGGTAACCTGCTCACCATGGACAGTCGAATCACGAACACCTTTTTCCCCTACTTCTTTAGCGTGCACAGGTCCGAGAGTACCCAAAATCAGCCCACCAAAAACCATGTATGTGACATCCCTGATATCCTTTTTACCCCAGAGTACGTAGATAGAGAATTGAGAAACCTCAATTCAAATAAATCCTCCTGTCCCGATGATGTCCATCATTCCATCATCTGGCACGTAAGCTCTGTACAAAGCCCCGAACTTGCTTCTCTATTTAATGTTTAACGCTCTCTGAGAGCCATACCTTCAGACTTAAAGAAAGTAACTATAATTCCCGTATTTAAATACGGAGAAAGGTCGAACATCAAACTACAGGCCTCTTAGCCTAACGAGTATGACGACCAAAACGTTTGAGAGTATCCTCCGAGACATGTATTTTTCTTTTTATTAAAGTCTTCTTCAGTGACACACAATACGGATTCCTGAAGGAAAAGTCTTGCCTCTAGAATCTCCTCACATTCATAGACGTTATTAGGGACAGATTGGATAGGGGCATCCAGGTCGAAATATGTTACTTAGATTTCCAAAAGGCCTTCTACTCTGTAAACCACCGACTGTTTAGCTTCAAATTCAGAAAAGCATGAATCTCCAAGGTCATGTGCGAATGGTAAGAAAGTCTCTCTGGTCGCTCTCTCACCATCAAAGTCCGAGAGGCTCACTCGGACGTTGGTTTCCTTAACAGCGGAGTGTCCCTAGGTTGCATACTTGCGCCTCTACTCTTTCTCATCACTAAGCGCATTGAAACCCCTGTTTTCCTATGCTGACAACGTCAAGTTGGTAGAAAAAAGAGGCCGTCTATGCACCATCGAAGCTGACATCTACAAAATATGTGAATCTTCGGCTAAATGGGATCTACCGCCTAGCGTGCTGAAGAGCCAAGTGCTTTCAGCGGTCACTGGTCCATCAATCTTCGTCACAAACCCTGCTTGGATTCCGGAAGCTCCACCTTCGAAGAACAGTACAACAGACCTATGGGTTAGAGTGACATGCAAGTTCATCTCATTAACAGCATGCGGTGCAGTAACCATGAAGGCTCATAAAGCATTATTCTGTCTTAAACCGTCATAAGGAACAGGAGCGCCGAAGTCTTCATCCCGTTATAGGTAGCCTTCATCCGGCCACACCTCGAATACTGTGTCTAAGCGTGGACTCTAGGCCTCCGTAAAGATACCCGTAGATTGGAGCAAGTCAAAAAACTCGTTAANTGAGTTACAGGGAAGGACTGTCGGCATTAAATATTTTCTCCCTGGAACGACGGAGACTATGAGAAGATCTGATAGAGATGTTCAAAATATCTAGGAGCCGTAACAATTCTCCAATGGGTTACATGTTCCGCTTAATGGAAGATAGAGTTCTCTATGGGCACCCGTACACCCTGGAGCCGACAAGAAGTCGACTGCAAATCATGGAATCACTTGCTTTGAAATAAAATCGTCCCTGCCTGGAATTGGCTTTCGGTAACAGTAGTGTTATGTCAGTCGGTCCAGACCTTTAAGCGCCAGTTAGACCTAGCGTGTAGCTCCCTCTTTCCAGGCTTATGCTAATGATAACTCACCCCGAAACCCAAGAAACAGAGGTTGGGCCATATCTTTTTCCTTTCTCTAGTTCCAGCTAATTCCCAAACGGCTAAAACGGTAACAATATCAACTCACAAGCGGTTCAGTCCCAATACAGAACACGCCATCACCAGGACACCTCACACACAAAGGTCTCCTCACGTCCCGAAATTTGAACTTTGGGTAGGATGATTGAATGTTGACTATCAAAGAGTAGGAGCAAGCTCCCCACTGACCTTCATTACCTCATCGTGAATGAACTGCATCAACCGCTTCAGACCACTGGCCTCCGGCACCTGGTTGGGATCGGGTTTCTCCGCCTTCAACAACGCATCTATTTCCATCGGGAAGTATTCTGTCTGCAGCATCCGCATCAGATCTCGGTCAGCCGGTCTTAATTCACCCGGTAGAAGTGGACCCACGTTGAACAAATCCTGGGAACGGGAATCTGACATAATCATTACGACCTGCTTGAAACCCGTCCACCAAGCCCAAACCTCAGCGCCTTTTTCCATCGAGAGACACTACTCAGTTTCTCCAGCAACCGTAAGATTGTGGCAGCTCGCACATGAAACACCATTTGCTTGGATTCCGGCTGGTCCCATGCGACAGGGTTGAACGGTTGTTAGGGACCATTGTTCGGGCACTCCGGCCGGGAAATCAGGACCCTTTAACCACTGCTGTTGTTTATCCAGGTTGTTTGAACCTCTAGAACAATAATCGGCCCGGTTATCTACAGACCTTACTTGCCACCATTGTTCAACTTCGGTTTTACCATAGGTGACAGCAAGACAATTAGCCAAAAAGCGTACTAAACCGCGTCATAACGCTGTTGATTTAGTGCAGCATGAAGGTTGAGTCGGTCCAGGAGGTGGCTTTTCAGTAGGTTTGGCCGAAACACCTATGATTTATTGAGGTCACCCGTACTGACAGTACAACATCATTCAGTTGTAACCGGGGCACGTTCAATACCTTAAGGCGTGCCACACGAGCATCGACAAACAACAGCCGTCCCACCCTGCCATCATTTTCTATTTCCCAACACACGTACGCAACCACTTCATATCAAATCTCTGGAGTACTAAAAAACACATAGTTCGGCCGGTTTCTTATGCCTTAGGGTTGGAATAGTTATTTTCCCGAGTCTGAGTGCATTCTAAGGAGAATAGCTCTCTGTATGCTGCCCATTCATCGGAGTAAATGATAGATCCAGGCCTTATCCATCGTTGTATCATCGACAACAGTGTGTTTGCCCATCGGCTGTCGACTCTTTCGAAGTATCCATTTTTATCGATTCTGTCGTACATGTGAAAAACCAGAGCAGTTTTAGATGGTCTTTCACGTTCATATTTACACTTGTTCACTAGGGTTGCTCTATACAGGTCAGGATCTAGGCATACGGTGAGCAACTGCCCACCAGTTAGCCTGACATCCGTTCTGTGCAGATGTTTGGAACGGATCATCAGGGGGCAAATATGTCAGCACCTAATCGCCCACAACCTCTTGGCACCAGCGCAGCATGGGTTTACCGAGAGAAAATCGTGCCTGACTAACCTGCTCACCTTTTTGGATGAGATTTCTAAAAGGCTTGATGAAGGTCAGCAGGTCGAAGTCTGCTACCTCGACTTCTGCAAAGCCTTCGATTCAGTCAGCCATAAGCTCCTATACCGCAAGCTACAAGATGCAGGATTACATGGGGCAGCGAGAAATTGAGTGTTGCAGTCCCTCAGTCATTGCACGTTTTGTGTGGAGGTTGGTGACTATCTGAGCCCTGAAGAGCTGCTCTTACATGTAAAAACGCAGAGGTCTTTATACCTATCTATAAGACAGTAGTTCGCCCCCACTTAGAATACTGTGTTCAGGCATGGGCACCATACTATAGAAAGGATATATCATGCCTGGTGAAGGTTCAACGACTTGCTACCCGAATGGAAGCTGGGCAAAAGGGAAAAAGCTAATAGCGATTGAGAGACCTAAATCTCTTTTCACTGGAGCATAGACGACTGCGAGGAGACCTGATAGAGACCTTTAAAATAGTCAGAGGGCTATCAGGAGTCCATGCAGATGACTTGTTAAGTCTTCCTGAGCTCAAAACACGAGGGGTCATAACTTTAAGCTCCAACAGAACCACGCTAGGTGAGAGGTCCGGGCCAACTTCGTCGCACATAGGGTCATACCCATGTGGAACAGGTTTCCCGGGGGAGTGGTCAACTGCACCAATGTGCACAACTTCAAGGCGGCACTGGATGCGTGTTGGCCTGAAATGTCCCCTGAGGTTGAGTGGTAATGTATCGTCACTGAGAGCCGGGAAAATCGCAGCCCCGAACTATATATTCGGGCCTTTTAAAATTGCACTTGAAACTGGTATATTTCAGAAAACTAAGGTCTCTCGCCGACGAGACGAGAGGACATCTCTTCTGTTTTCTCTTTTCCAGTTCGTCTGTGAGAACCTGGCTAAAGAAACTCAGACAACGCAGACAACACAATAATCTGGACGCCTGATTGGCAGGGGCCATTATACGTCCTGCGAAGACTGAACTGAACTGATCTGGTTTCATCTATTGATACAATTCTGGACGGACCACCGACCTGTTGATTCAGCGCAAGGAGTTTAAATGAAGACATCTCCTGACAGAATACCCACTAGTTATTTGTTGACCTTTCGGACAAACGTCAAATGCTGCTTGCCAACAACACTGGAATTTTCAAGACAAAATGCGCTATTAACTCCACAAGAAAAGATATTTTGGAATTCTCGAAAAACGTGCCTTTTCGAATGAACACTATTTTCTTACACCGACAGCATCAAAAAACAAAACCGTCCAGTTTCTTAACAGATTCTTGAATATTCATGACGTGAACACAAGGACAATCATGCCTTTTTGGCAACTAATTTATATCTTGCAAAACCCGACCAATTAACTTCCTTCAATCTAGGACAAAAATGACCGCATCCACGAAAGATGAGACATATTGAGGGCACAATAAACGAGTAAATATATGAATAAATTAACGTGAATGTATACAAGATTAAAACGTTCGGAATTTTTATTGGTTGGTATATCTTTTGCTGGAAACCTTTTCATATGAAAATTATTATTATTGTTATTATTAGACAACGCAATAAAAATTTCACCTGGGCGGGGAGTGTCGACCAGGTCTATCCATCAAACTATTCACTTACTCTTCTTGTTCTCCTGATAAACGGCGATTACTTGTATACACATCCCACTAACTCACATGAAATTGATGGTTGTGCAATGGACAACATTTCACCACTGGGTAATCCTTCCCGGTTGCACAAATTCCAACGAATACCGGGCAAGGAATATTTTCCAGCCTAAAACGAGTTCAATACATTATAAACGAGAGTCACAAACACCTGGCTGCAGTTGTGCTATGCCTTCGATGATTTACACGGCAATGTTCGATGAATTACTAAGAAAAACGACAAACAGCTTCAATTTCCGATAATATTTTCTCCCCCGTATCAGTTACTTGGCTGTAATTGATGCATAGACGTAAAAGAACGTGCAAATAACCCTTTCGAATTAGCGGAAGTACTCCAAAAAGCTGTCTAGCAATCCGTAACAATCTTTGTCCATTTTTTCAAAGACGACTGTAATGTCAACGTGCGCCAAGGTTGATATGGGCGTGGAAGTGAACGTCGACATTGCATTCCAGTATTTATAATTTTTTGACAAAATTAATTAGGGTTTATTGAGAAAAAAATAGGTTACAAACGGCAAACATTCATTCAAAATCAAAATCTGTCCAATTGAAACTGAATTCAACATCCCTTTTGTGAAATTAATTTCAGAATCGATCGTTTTTAGAAGATCTCATAGTTGGGATGCCACACGGTTACCACCAAAAAGGCTTAGCGTTCTGATCCAGAGTACTTGGAACTGGGATCCAAGGGGTACCGAACCTCCTCTGATAAAAAGAAAACAATGTGCATGTGATCAGAGGGCTGTTTGTAACCTACAACAATGCTGCAAGCGTATGAAACAAGTCACCTTAGCTTTAGTTTGGTGGCATTCACAGGAACATGGCCGCACTCAGAGGAGGGCTAAAGCGTTCAGTGCCAAATTAACTATCTAACTAATGAAAAAAGTAGACTTGCAGAACGAACAACGGGATGCTTCTGATGATGGCGACCTATTATGACCGAAATCGGTCTGCAGTTGTTACTCAAACATTAAGGCGACGATGAGTTTGGTGAAAATGCGACCCAGAGAGAGAGAGAGAGGCATCACATTCTCTACCGCTGTCCTTCAATCTTAAAAGCAAGAAAGAGACTCTAGTTGCTTTTCTACTAGCTTTGGCAGAATCCCACATAAGGTTACTGGTATAGGGGACTTTTCAAGAAATAAACTCGGAAGACAGACTGCACCAAGAGTCATCTTGGGACTCCTAGTTGACCTAAACAAGATGTCCATCCATCAGGAAGCCATATTGAAACAAGAAGAAACAACCTCTGTTCTGAATATCGTAATAACTCGGTTCCTAAGGCAAACCAAAAACCATCAAGTGCGAAAACACATTAGCAACAGTGACTAAGGGTTCATCGGACGGTTTATGAGCGTAGACAGATTAAACATGTGGGAAGAATGCTGGCACCAGTGGCATCGCATAAACCACCAGGAACTCCAGACCGGGGCTTCTAGGTTAGCATGGTGGCTCGAGGGGCAGTTTGACCGGGTATTGGACTAGTGAAACCTCAACGAAGGGTATGTACCCAAAATTACTGATCAGGTTGCACCCCTGAGGAAAGTGAGAAGGCACGGGATCTCCCCCCCCCCACCCCGTGGTGNCGTGGTGACGCAGCTTCCCACGAATAGTGGTAAAACGCAAATAGGACAACTGGAGAAGTCACACGTAGAACAGAGAACACAGATTCCTGTTGCAATAACAAGCGGAAATTTGCAGGAACAAAGGACTCAACAGCACGTGTAGATAAGCTTACGAAGAAAAGCTGGTGGCGGATGCTCGGAAAACCCCAAGTTATTTTAAAGTGACGTTTCAAAAAGAGATGGAGCGAGTGACAGATGGGTAGAATAGAACATCTGGGTCGCAAATTGCAGCAGAGCAACCAATCCCTAAATTGACCGTCGTTGGTGAAGAGATCCTACGGAATATCACCAAGTTAGTGAATGCAATGCTTGCGAGTCCTTACGGGATCAACCCACAAGTCTGTGGCTCCTGACGAGGTGATGATTCTGACCAGCCTTTTTAGGGCTTCATTAAAGGAAGACTAGATGCCGAAGGATATTTTACTGGCCAAAGTTACCCTAATAAAAAAGAGGAATATGAATTTAGGAGCACAGGAGCTGATGCTACCTTTACCGCATATTTATTAAAGTCCCAACCAGGTGGCATGTGATCGCAGGACAGAGTGGAAGGCAGTTGCATTGAATTAGTAGCAAACTTTGCAGAAAAACTTTCAATTACCCAACGA